GCATCTGTTCTTGCTAATGCTGATGGCCTTCTAAAAATCATTAAACTATTCTAAATTGGTGATGATAAAACAAAGCAGAACTGTTTTAACTTTTTCCAAAGCAAAGAGAAAATCCATTTCCCTTGTAAATACTTCTTTGTTCCAAATTTGCCTAGTAACCTATATCTCGTAAGGCATATCTCCCTCACGGGCTGCCTAAATCCCATTCTCCCACAATCATCTAGCTTGAACTCAGTGCCTTTTAAACCCGGGTTGGTAAAGGTTTGTCTTCACTGCATCAACGCAGGCTGTAGCTCCTGAGTTCTGCCCACCCCTCCTCTAGTCACAGGCTCGAAGGAACTGGTGCATGGGGCATAGCTGAAACACAGGCGTCAGCTCCAATTTCCTTTCGGCCTCAGCTAGAGACTGGGCTGGTTTGCAGTGGGAGTAGCTCGCACAGCTTCATTCTCCCAGGGCTACCCTAAAATTTCAGCTGGACTACACTTTCTTCGTTCGCTTATTCCTTCTGCTGTACTGCATTTTAAATCCACCTTCGCTTGCTCCAGGTATGTAACGCTTCTGCAGTGTAAGGACTGAGATGCTATTTAAGAATACTTCTTAAAACCTTTTCAAAGGTATCAGCCCAGGTTTGGACACAGAGCACCCAAACACAGTGCAAGATACAGACAAATCATGAAACAAAACAAAACATCTCCTAACAAGGAACTTAAAGATCCTGGAGATCATGCATAAATGGTAGAGAAGAACCTTACGTTATACTTAACCTCTCCTACAAACAGACCGAGGATTCCAATAGGAAAACCAAAAGCAACACAGGAATATAACGGATTGATTGCCTGGCTTGGTAGCCAAATACAGCAGAAAATGCTAGTCTCGGCTCAATGATTTGCTCTGTCCTGGTTCTCATCTACATCATGGGTGACTTCTATTACCACCACCACCACATGTAGTCAAGAGAAAACACCTGGTGAAGACCAGGTTACCCAGAGCAGCACAGGGAAGATGTATTTCTGATGAATGAAATGCACACGGCCAGATGGTGCCTATTTCACCGCAGCCGTATGCCACAAAAGGTAAGTGAAAAACCAACTTAAGGTTAAAAGATGGTGCTGTTTGTATAAAATCTCTTTTTTTTCCTCCTATTGTGCTTCCATTTTGGTGGAGTAGGTGTAAAAGGAAGGGAAATGTTACTTCTTTCTGGGCTTATTATTTCTATGTTGTCAAGTTACTGCAGTGATCATTGTTCACTTTACCAAGGTTGCTAAACGGTGGTATTTTCTACTGCTCGAGTCAATAGGTTGGTGGGTTACAGGTTCACAAACTATAAGGAGATACATGAATTTAAAAAAAAAAAAAAAAAGGCTTTCAATAAAATCCTAGGATAAACACATATTGTTTAATCATTAAACTCATCAAATTATGAAATAAAATGAAACCTTGGAGTAAAAATGGACTCAAATGCTGTGATCATGTCATCTGCTGAAGTAATCCACCAAGCCAGCATCATACACATAACATCATTATGACAATTCCCATTTGAAGCAGGGATGTGGCATTTTGCTCATCTTCTTGTGATCTTGGAGCCAAACTCAGAATCACAGGGGTTCCTTCTGGTCCCCGCTCTTTGCCAGTAATTCAGTGCTGGCACCAAGCGACTCCTGAGAAAATCTCCGCACCTTTTCCTCACCTACAGCAGTAATGCACAGGACACCATGGGAACATGAAGGCGATGAGGTGCACCGGCACCCGAGTGGGATTTGACCCAGCACCAGCCTGCCGTCCCTCCAAGCACACATCCTTGCCTCCACGCAACGACTGCCCAGGGTGCAATTAGACTCGACTCTACTGGCTGCTCTCTCATCAGGAGAACACTGCAAAAGCCAGGACAGTGGTGAGGACCGGCTAGGTGTCCCACATAGCACTGCATGCATGGCCAAACAACATCCACATTCCTCCAGCAAGGGTCCTTTCTGTGAATCCCACCTTGGAGATCATGAACCACAAGAGACAGCTAATCAAGGCACAACTACTGAGAAAACACCTTTTCTGGCTGACATATTCACGTGCCCTGCAGGAAAGCATTCAACATCCCTACAAGAAGTAGGCACATATCCTTGGAACCCACAATTAATTTAATCTTGATTTCAGTAAAGTTTTGCAGTAATTGCCTTGTAAACACCCATCACCATTAACACGGAGGACCCGCCAAGACCAGGCTGCTTAGCTATCGCATGTGGCAGCCTCCCACACTGCAACAGCAACCTGAGGAGCAACCCCCCTCGCTCCATCATGCATTGTACTGCCTGGCCCCGAAAGGGCTAAGCGAGATCGTCACACAGCACCATGAGGGAATTTTTCTGTTGCCACTGGAAAGGGCTGGAAGCTGATGCTAGATAAATTCAGATTAAAAATTAGGTGCATGCTTTCACAACAAGAATGGGTAACTACTAGCATAGCTGTGGAAGGTTTTTCACCACAATCGGTTTTAAAATCAAGACGACGTTTATCTGAAATATGGGCTCAGACTTAAACAGGAGACAATTCAAAGTGGTCCCATAGCCCTTCTCAGACAAAAGATCAGATGATACTATCCCAGCTCCTCCAAATCCTCATTAGCGAGGCATGGCAACTCAGTGCTCTCTGGTCTGATCGCTCCACGCTCACCACGCTGGTCGAGGGCCATTGGTGCTCCAGATTCTGTTGGTTTCACTCCTCCACAATTGACACAGCTTTCAGAATCCCCTAACAAGGGATGAAACTTTCTTTTCATAACCCTTAAACCATGTCTCACTTTCACCCTTGCAGCAAACCTAGAGCAAATAGATACCAAGCAGGAACACCAAAAAACCCAGCTGTCTTCCTACAGGTTTTGGGAACGCTTGCCTAGTCTTGTCTGGTGTTCAGCATCCTAAGTGATGAAGCTTTGGCCACTACCTTCAGAAGACTCAAAATGCCGTCTTAGTTTGCAAATTTTCAAAGTAGAAATCACATCTCCCTGTATACGCATATGCTGCGATGGAGGTGCAACTCTAGGGACTCTGGGCACTATAATAACACAAAAAGACATCGCAATTTCAAATTCATATTACTTGGATCACACTTTAGTTCCCACTCTATGCTTCCCAGTTATGATATTCATCTTCCCAAACAGCTCCACGTGCTGTTTTCGGTAATCACATCCTTCAAACACTTGTCCCTGTTATGTCTACCAACATCTACATATTCAAAACAGTCTCTGAAGCACATGCTAAACATCTGTTTCAACCACCTTTCTCTTTAGAATTTAAGCTGTTTGCTGGAAAATTGCCATCCTAATGGCTAGCTCCTCTGTTAGTGAACTGGAGAATTCATTTTGTATTTATTGATTGTTCCCTAATGAAGAGTCATAAAGGTGCCAGAGACTCTTGACCAGACACTACTTAATTAGTAACAAAGCACATAAAATCCCAAATCAAACCCAGCTCTTTGTCCAACGGCTCAGTCACTGGAAAAGAAAAAGATGACATCATTTTCTGCTTACACAGAAGTCCATAAAATTTTATTAAAAAAACCCTAAGGAAATTTAAAAAGTATATAAATTGTTCATTTCCTTCCAGTTCCTAAGACACCAAATAGGTCTTCCAGAATCAAATCACACATTGCTAAAGGAAGTATTCTTCATAAAGGACCCAGCAATATGCATCATGCATAGAATTTATTTTGAACTAGACAAAGGCAAATACCAATAAAACATTTATCTTCTGAACAATATAAAGGTTTATGTTACATACAAAGACATAATGCAAAGCATCCAGAAGGTATTAAAAATTACCTCTAATGCATTTGTCTTTTCATCATCGTGGCTCATACAATAGTCCAACTTTTATGTTCTCTGAAACTACGCTGTATTGGAGTATTTTCTGAGGGTACTTGCTCTCAAGAAGGCAGAGAGATGAGCAAGAACTCCATTAAATGTCAAGTTTTTTTTCTCTCAAACTTAAAGCCTCAAAAACATCCTGAATAACTGACATCTCCTTTCAAGTCTTTCAAATTAAGTCATCCTGAAAGTTAATTCCCTCTCTTCCATATCATTTAAATTCTCAATTAAATAATTGAGAAAATAGCAGGAAGGAAAAAAGCCAAGTAACAGAAGGAGGCAAAAGCCCATCCCTACATGGCAATAGCATTGCTGCTTCTATTACACTCTCCGCTTGTTGAAGGCATCTGTCTTCAGAGCAGTAAGGTGGCTTGGATTCTTTGGGATAACGTAAGATGCACTCAAAGAAATAAAGATTCATGACAACACAAAATTCATTAAATACAGATGCCCTCATAGTAATCTACAGTCCCTGATGTAATTATTACCATATATGTAAGAAAATACCCTTAATGTGTCCAAAAATGTAGTCTTCCATTTTCCTAAAATCTACCACTCCATTGCCAAACACTTGTTCTGCAAAAAATTCAAAATCCTATTCATGATCTCTGTCCTGTATTCAGCAGTCAACGTGATACCAGCTTTAACCATCCGAAGCTTCTAGCCCTTTTATCATAATGATAAACAAGTGTATTCCACCAGAAAGAGAGCAGGTTTGCACAGAAAATGGAGCAGGACAAGCATATAAAGGACAAAACAACCACAGTAAGGCACATATCCCAAGAAGGCAGAATAGCGAAGATATGTATGGGCTTCTCAGACATATGAATTTGGCTTTTTTTACCGTAATCCATTATTCTTTCCTGTTTCTTTAAACTGCACCTTTTTTTATAATCGTAAAATTACACCAACAGCATCTCATTTCACTAAGTCTTCTGCAGAGTTTTTGTTTTCTGCTCCCAGCAGATGAGTCTAGATGGTCACTGGTACATCTCCCAAGAAAATGAGTTCCAAAATGGTAGAAATGAAGAAAAACGTAGAAAAGAAAATGACAATACAACGGCAGGGACAGCTAACCACAGAGAAGCTCAGGAAGGGTCACCAGTGCACTGCAGAGTGAGGCCGCACAGAAACCTCTGCTTACCCCTTGCTCAGATTCCAGCAGCTCTGTTTTGACTCTGACTGCCGGCATCCCATCAAGCATTAACATTCTGTTCTCAAAGGCGCTGATGTCCTAAGGCAAAAAAGGACAAGGTTAATCAAAACAGTGATGAAAAACACTTGGTTTAATTCACTGGTTTAGTCTACAATATTGTAAAAGTAAGTTTCTTTTAGCGGAAATAAAGTTAACGAAGATGTAATGTTAATTTCAAAGAGTAGCTACCAAGTTACTACTTCTGTTAAAATAGTAAATTATACTTTCAGTTATCCTTAAGAGAGAACTAAGTCTTTGTAAGCAACACGGGAAAATCATCTCCAATTATTATTTTTTAATTTTAAATTAATCATGCAGGTGCACGTATATAAATTCCTTGCTTTAGAACTGGAAAAAAGAGAGCAGTGATGTCAAACAGCTTCAGGTTTTTGGCAGTATACTTAGGTATATTTCATTTCAATCAAAACATTTGTACTTCTGTATTACCTAGAGAAAGCATATGCTTGAATTCAGAGACCTTATAGTGAAGGCCTGTACACACACATACCATAAATTAACACACATCAGCAACTCCTCAGATTTCGTATCATTCATTATCTTGTAAAGTTACCAGCATTTGTCAATGAAAATCTCCATGCACTCACCTCTGACACAAAGAAATAAAAAAGCATGTTAAGAATATGCATTGCCCTTGCAGTAATGGGCAATATACACAGAGCGCTTCAATCTGAAGTGAGATTTGCAGAACTTGTGCTTCCCTGAATCAACATCCCTGCTCTGAATGTCTCATCCTGCTGTTGCTGGAGCAGTTTATGTAGACATGCAAAACAACCTCTTGTGCCTTCAATTCAAACACTACTTCAACCTGAGTCAATTTTCTATTCCAGCCAAGGCTCAAGGCTGGTGTATGAAAGCTAGCCCCTTCAGCTGCCGTTTAGTTTGGACAACATGGAGAGAATAAAAGACATTTTATCCCTCAAGCTAGAATCTGACCTTATGAATCCAGACACCTTGGTCAGCGGTACGGAAATACAAAGACGTCACAGCTGTTTTTCAAATAGTGAAACTACAGCACGTATCGCGTATAAGCGACTAATTCACAGCCACTCACTTATCTGCAGCCCCATCTGGAAGGCAGTGCTCAACTCCGGAAACTCACCTCTGCTCTGTTACCTTGCAGTCCTCAATAACTGCACTGTAATGGAAAAAATGCTTTCCCTGTGTTTCACGGGCAGCAGATCTGTTCAGTACTGCGTGGTGCCATTATTCATAAGGAATACGTTCATAGCCCTGTTTCTTCTCATGGCTGCTTCAGGGGGATTTTAAGAAAAATGGTCTGTCCTAATGGAGCGTCCAAAATACATTTTAAAAACTTAAATTACTTTAAGCATTTTATTTTTTCCAGTTAATGCACCTCGTCACAGGATGTTCGTTTTCAGCGATTTAAATATTGCAGCAACTGTTTACTTTTGTATACTCCTTAACTTTATTGTAATTTAAATAACATGCTGAAAAGCAGAGAAACTGATACGCCCATGCTCCAACAGGGTGCCACAGGCAGAGTAATTGACCTGCTTAAAATCCCCGTCACCCTCACTTTGCACCCCATGTGTTACAGCACACAGAGGCGTGGTTTGATACTACAGGGCAGGCAGGAACTTGATGGTAAAGCAGATAAGCAAATGCAACAGCAAATGCATTCTCTATTTTTTTTCCTTAAAAAGTAGATTTAGATAGTTCATAAAAAGTTCTAAACTCTTATATTATAAAATTTCAGCTCAAACAATTAGTTTTCAGCAGAACGCCTCCACGTTCAAACGTGACTGAAGACGAGTGAAGCTGTTGAGATGTCCTGGTCCATGCTATGCTACCACTGTGTCTCTACTGTATTTTAAGCTTGAAACAACAGGAAGAAGAAGGAAAAAATGCTCTTCTATGTCTCCTCAGCAATTTATTTTGTGCACCTTGATCTTTATTCAGCGTTCGAGGCATGAGGTGGGGAAAGAGCAGGAGGGACTCTGATGCCACAAAACAGCTGTCTGAAATTGTTCCAGGTTTTACATCCCTCTTCCCAGAAAGGGAGGTGCACTGTTTACTTATCAGAAGCGGATCTCGGGTGTCACCGAGTTCCAGCGGTTTGGATGTGGTTTTGGGGTGGA